ACCCCCACTGAATCCCCTCTGGCTAATAAGTAGGACACAGAGATGTGAAGGGATATCCTGGCATGCTTGTTTTTAGTGATTCCACTACTATCGCCATTATTATACCGTTACTTTTACCTGAACAAATGCCTTGTGTACGACAGGAGCAAGTATGGCATAATTATAACAGATGTCTTTATTTATTTATTTGACTTACAAGTCACAATAGCAACGGCTGTGTTGAGTGGATGCGAGTCAGGGCAGTGTGACAGTGAGTCTGTGGCACCTTTAAACTGGGGAAGATAAATTGAACTTAGCTGTTAATTATTCATTGTTTACACCTGTGATTTTTCTACTGTGACCTGTCGAATGAGGCTGCACTGGTTCTTCTTCTGCATTTGTCACAGCATCACAGTAGCACTGAAATGTTGTCACTAATGTAAAACAAATAGTGTATTTATCTCTTGAGTAAAAGTGATAACCTGTTTTTTTATAACCTGTAATACATAAAGTATTGTCACTGTTTTAGTAATCTGGTGACAAAAGGCTTACCTAGTCTTTTAGAGATTGTCCTTTCTTTAAGTACTTATTTTAGGAATCCTTGTCAAGCATAGAAAAAAATTCTACTTGCAGAATTGTTTTCGCTTGACACAAGAATTGATGAAATCCGTTTTTGCAAGGTTCAAGTGAGATTCGTCTATGGGAACAAATGTTATGTTATGCTACTGTGCTGTAAATTCATGACTAGTGGTAAACAATTAACCACACAAAACATTTTATATATTAAAACATGGAGAACATGCTATTCCTAAATAAATGAGGTATATGCTTTTTCTGTGGTTTGGTATATTTTAATGGCAACAACATGACCCTCTGCTACGCTAACGCTGCTTTTTCTATAATCCAGGTTAACTAAGGGGCACACTTTAACATATGATTTTCAATTTAGTACTACTCAAGACGAGCTTTTATGCATACATGTGTCCTAAAGGTCAGGACCATAGTAGTGTAAACCAGACGCAGCTCTCAGCAGCAGCTGCCATGTTGCAGCTCCTTCCAGACCCAAATAGAACTACTGATATTTAACATTGTGTAACAGAACAAATGTGTTATTTATTTCACTCTGGGTGAGCAGAATCCTTGCTGCGTAGAGACCTGGTAGGCAACAGTTTTACAGGGTTTTGTTCTTTCCACCTGTTACATGTCTCACTTTGACCCACGTCTTTGCATTCTGATGAGCAAGCAGAAGCAGCCAGACACACAAGGCAGTGCCTGACCTTTTCAGCAAACAATAGGCAGCACACCCACTATGACTGTTTGAGCTTTAAAGTAAGGACGAAAAAAACGAGACTAGTTACACCTTTGACATTTAACTCTAAATTTAAAGTAATTGTGATAATTTAGAAATGCAAATGGCTTTGAGGGAATATCTGTTGTGGAACAGGGCTGTCTGGACATGCTGTTGATCCTGCTGAGTGAAAGACGGCCAGCAGATCACAGGTCATTGTTCCCTCTGCAGGGATGCAGGAGTTTTAATTACATACACACCAAAGAAGGGCGTCTATCACTCTGACTGTGTGACCAGAAGGGCTTGACCTGACCCGACTGACTGAAGGAACCGACACGGACCAGGACAATACAGACGTGACACAAGATAATTTATCCTCACAACGATCCAAGCGAAAAGAGCCAAAGAAACCAATGCTGCAGTAAGATTGCACAGAAGGTGACAAAACTTTCGCTTAGAGACGAGAAATATTATTGGAAACAACACTTAACATTTTAAAAGTAAAATATTTGTTAGTGTATTTAAAATAATGAGGAAAACATTTGAGAAAATTAGCTTCACCAAGAGAGAAATAACACACAACTTCTGTCCGTACCGGAACTGTAAAAGTGTAGCTAACGTTAGCCCTGATGTCCTTGTACATACTTAAGTGCTACAAGTCAACTCTTTGTTGTACATTTGCCCCACAACCATGTTTTTATCCAAGCTACCATCAGGAAGTTTGTTTAAAAAAAGAAACTTTTTGTCCAACAAACTAAGCTCTGTCTTGTCATCCATGACTGTTCACCAAACTTTTATTTGTGTTGATGTCACTCAATACATCCTGGGTATCTTTTTCTGGCTGACGAATGAACTCTTGGCTTTACCGCCCCCATACCAGTCTGGAGCTGGGGCATTGGTGTTGCCATTAAATACGTAATTTTACTGTCATGTTATTCGAATGAATGCAGTTAAGTTATTGATATTAATATGATATTAATATTTACGAGAACGTCACTCACCTCTCGTCCAGTCAGGACGTGACGAGCCAACTTCACCTTGGCAAAATTCCCTTTCCCGATGGTCTTGAGGAGGCGATAATTGCCTATATGAGGATGCTCTTCTGAGGAGGTAAAAGAGTTGCGACATCTCGGCAGACTGTGACGGCTTGCTGACTTTGTGGGAGGTGCAGGAGGCTCGACAAAGCCATCCACTGATGAGTGCTGCAAAAAAAGAGTGAAGATCAGACGATAATGTTAACAGAAAATTATTTGTGAATTACACAAAATGCTAGCACTTCATGAAACCTTACACTGACCATTCATCAAGCGTTTTGGTGACATGTCAACACTCTGACCTAGAAATATGTCAAGAACTGGAAAAGATTTGACCACATTGTACCTTTGAGTTATTACAGTGTCAGTGCTTCACGGACAACATCAGGCTTCTTCTGTGATATGACATGTCAAGGTGAATCAGGAATAGCATGCTGTAACTACAACTCCTGCACAGGCTATGCCTGTCTGTTTCCTCTCCTGTAAAACAGCTGAGGATGTCAGTTCGGGTCAGAGATCCCATGATTCTCTGTTTCTCAGATCGTGACCACACCCAAACCAGAAAATAAAAGCCTCGGTCTGGTTACTCAGGCTCCCCTGCTCCCGTTTCACCTGAGAAACGCTACACCCTGCAGGGTGCACTTCATCGCCTCAGTTATCCCACATTCAAACAGAAGAACGACTCACACTGAAGGATTAAAACCCTCCTCGCTGTCACTACGTGTTTGTATGGAAGTCAGAAGTGACAGAGAGGCAGATTTGAACTGGAACAGATGAGATTGATTCTGATGCACTGCAACCTGCCTTCAGATCCTCGTTACATTGTTTTAGTTTGTCTCCATCTACTCTTATCTGACATCTGTTCTTTCCATCAGATTCAGAACGCGACTGTCTTGTCGGCCAGTGAGACATAAAACAGACTAAAACACACACCCCAGCCTTTCTGCTCCTTATTCTGTCAAGTAACTAAGAAGGATTGCCAGGACAGACAGGTGATTTGGAGGACCAGTGCTTTCCTTGTTCACACGGTTTGCTTTTCATGTCCACCCATTAACTCGTAACCTCTGAGACAGAAAAATAAGAAAGCCATGAGATGGTTTTTCATATTTTCCTACACTAAAAGCCATCTCTACTCCTGTGTTATAACCTGTTATGCAATGAAGCCCAGTTTCAAGCGGACCCCGGGGTTGGATGCCAAAGTCAAATGTTGGCATGATTGGCTGCAGTCAGCACTGCTTTAATAGCTGCCTGTGAGCGTGTCTGTGAGACCTACCGCAACAATACACTGAGAAACCATTACCGTTTACTATTCCCTAAGACGACCACACAGTAATTAGAGGGTGAATGTAGTGATACCAATCATCCGTAACACTAAATGAAAATTGAATTTTTAAGTGAGGTTTGTGAAGAGTCAGCGGGTTATAGTACCATTTTATTAGACAAATTCTTGGCAAATGTTCCCAAAAAGCATGAGAGGACTTTGTAAATGCAGGTTAAACCTCAGACAATCTTCATAATACATTAAACTGTGAAATATTTTGCAGATCACTCAGCCAGTCCTAACACAACACATTCTGTCAACCACTTTCTTTCTGCTTCTTGGTGTAAAATTAAATAATATGACAAGGCTTTATTCTGTGCCTCACCAGAAAAAATGGTCTTGAACCTAGAAATGTCAGAGTCTGTCAGTGCACGAACAGTAGCTCTAATTTGGACTCAACCCAGAGGATTTGTCTTTGTTTTTTTTTCACTGCACTGTGGTTTTTCTTTAACCTTGCTTTGCATAGTGGAAGAGAAATCCTTCACTGTTTAAACAAGGCATGGAACAATGTAAAAAGGACCCTACATAAATACATTGTGTAAAGTGAAACAGATTTACAGGTTGATTCTAATTACAACTGGTACAGACGCATTACATTCTCAACACTAACAAGTAATAAATAAAAGCCAAGTAAAAAGAAACAAGGTAATGGAAAGTCACATTCCAATAATCACAGATCAATACCTAAAGACTGACTGTGCTAGTGATACAGTTGGTTAGGTAAGCATAGCTCAAGCTCTGCTGTTCTGTGAAGCTGTACCCCTCCATGAAAGACTTGTCAAAATGTTAATACTATGTTTTTTTTTTAAACCTAATTGGTTACTTTACACTTCGGCTGGTGCCTGAAATAAACCATAATTAGGTTCTATCCACGAAATGTTGTCTCCAGAACTATTTTACTTCATTTCCTTCTAAACCAAAACATGACGATTGAGGTTTATCTTAACTGGAATTGATGAAAATGTCTGAATACTGAATACTTGCATGGCTTGCAAGTTTCTGGGATGCTCCCAACCTATGGTCTATAACAGCTAGGTTTGGATTGACTGGGATTGATAAATTAGTAGTCTTGTTTTCTTCATGACTAGACTTTTAATATCACCACCATCAACGTCATGGATTAGCTTCTTCTTCTTGAGTCAGTACCACAATTACTGCCACCTACTGGCTCTATTTTACTCTTAATTTGTTTTCACTCCCAAACTGTCACAATCAAAAGAAATGTGGAAACAATGACATAAGGTATATTTTTTACTGATAAACTCGACATTGTGACTTTTTGAGAGTCAATAAAATGTCTGACTGAAAAATGTCATTATTTATCTTTTAAGGGGCAATTCCTTTACACTATATATTTAAGTTACAAGTGCTGTTTTGTTCATGCTTTTTGGTTATTGATCAAACCAAATGAAACAGGGAACAATGCACATTTATCGTAGTCTGATTGGTAGCCTTTGTCGTATGTACATTGCATACGTTGCTATCGCGATGACTGTGGAACCCTGATAAAACGTGCAGCTCTAATCCATAGTTTAAACCCGCTTTTCTTTGTCTAGTTTTTAGATAAAGACGCCTGTGTGTAGCTCCCAGTAGCAGAATAGTGAGTGAATAACAACCCGCTCCCTCCTTCTCCTCCTCCTCCTCTTCTTCCCTCACAGCTACAACAGAGCCCAAGAGGTGATGGATGTCACATTGCGATGCTACCAAGTGGTTGCCATTGAAAAAGTAGGGCAACATCCTCCCCCTCCACCCTCCCTAAATAATGACGGTGTTGACTAGAAAACACCCCGAACATGGGGAGAATTTTCTTCAATATTTTTCTGCCAATGTGTCCTTTTCAGTGTCACGGTTATCAGCCCATTATACGTTTTGGACCGGCGACACTGACGCAGTGCGTTGTTGTTGTGGCTACGGCAGAAACTGGCAACCGAGCTGCGTTATTCCAGGCCCCATCATGCTTTTAGAGGAGAGAAGAGGAAAAGCCACGCTGCTCTCATTGGTCGAGTCTCTCTGCAACAACCCCCTCCCAAAAACCATACGCTGCTGTCATAAACCTGCACCAAGGAGTGGCGCAAAATAAAACGGCAGGAATTATCCCACAGTGACGCCGGTGTCTACGGAAACGATAAGGGATACTTACGTTCTCCGTGTCGCGCTCGTTCACGGTGGGCAATGGCGTACGGGTCGACATCTTGTTGGCTTGCAGGCCGCCTAGCGATGCAGCGGGCTGGGCACAGTAAAGCAGAGCGGTTGCAAACACGGTGTGGTCCTTCCCTAACGTCCTTCCTTCCGTCAGGGAGAGCGACGTCTTTGTGGCCTCTCTACATCCCCTGAAAACACCGCAGACAGCGGCTCCTCTTACCGCAGCATAGCGCTGGCCAGGCCCGGCCGACGCGCCAGATTTTCTTTATTAGCTTTGTGTGTGCACTTCCTCCCAGGTAGGCTAGTGTCAGACAGCAGAGGGAGGAAAAGAGAGACTGAGAGAGAGGACAGGGAGAGACGAGGGGAGGGGAGAGGAGGGTGAGCAAGAGGAGGGGAGGCAGGCAAGCCAGGAAGATGCGTCGGTAGCGGACGGTTCTGCGCAGTGCATCTCAAACCTCCCACCAGGAAGGATGATGGAAGAAGCGCCCTCTCCCTCTCTCCCTCTTTGTCTCCTCTCTTTAATCTCGATATTCAAGTGTACATAAAACAATAAATAGCTTCACTTCAGTCTAATGTCCATCTGAATTCATCTTAATTAGACTTCGGTCCATGATATTTTTTATATCTAGATTTTTTAAAGTGATATCGTTGATCAAAAACGACATTAAAAAAATTGTCTTCGTGTCTGGTATCTGTAATGATGAATTGCTGCCTCCCTCTGGATTTTATCCTCTTTTACACTCTTCCACTCAGAGGCTACAGATCAGGGATCCTCAATGGTATGGAACGTTGAAAACGCCTAGGAGCCCTTTCAGTATTTAAGTATTGACAGTGATAGTAAAAAATTTTAAAGTATTGTCACTATTGACCACTATGACATTCAAACATTACTCAGGTTGATATATTCGTGTCTATATATTTTAAAAAAGCGTTCCAAAATCTCACTATAATGATTGTAATACAAAATGTATTGACTATAATAGAATATGTACTATGTTTCTTGACATAAGCTTAATTTAATGTATTAAATTAATAATTAATAAAATAACACACTCAATCAATTATAGTTGAGCCTTTACAGATGTTCACATTTGTTAGGGTTGTAATCGAAAACCTTTTTTGTATTTTCTGTGTGTTTTAATTAATAGTTTGAAAGAGTCCTTCAAAAACATTTGACTTTTAAAAATTTTATCTTAAGGTTTCTGTGCTTTGTCTTTCTGTGTGGAGGATTACCTTTGGCTATTTTCCTCATTTGTTTTTATTCCAGACAGATCAGAGTGGACATACTTAGAACCAGTAGGTGGCTGTAATGCTAATGTAAACAAGTGCATGCTAAGAATCAATTAGCAATAAAAGGTAAACAAAATAGAAGGAAAAAGTACAAATACACGATTAAACAAATATGTGGACTCTCCGGTTTA